ATTCCTTAAACTTTCTTTTTCCTCCTTTTTGGTCATTTTTCACTTGTTTCTCCTTATTTCCGCTACATTCATCACTTTGTCCTAAAAAACATAAATTGCATAGAATTAAGCTATATTCCAACATATTAATCAATAATTTCTCATGTTTTGATATTAAAATAAATATGTAAAAACGCACTTATTAACTCACTACAGGCTACATCATTAGATGAATACCCATAAACCATTGGATATTTGCATATACTCAACACTCAGCAATAGCATATGACAATAGCACTAGCAGATAACCCAAACTCAAAACTTTCCCAAATCCCAATAGCAGATGACAATATGAGATGAATATTGAATACCAGCAATAGGTTTTAGAAAACTTACTCAGGGGCATGCGAGCAGGAGAAGTGGAGCAGGCGAGCAGCGATAGTGCCAGCGAGTCAAAGTTCAATGTGTTGCGGCCTTGCGGGGATGCAGGCAACAGGCAGGATTCTCAAATCGTGATTTTGGTTGGAATGGAATTGCACCCTGCAAGGGCTTTTCTATTATGGGGGGTGGAATGGGCCAAATAATTGGCCCAACTTTTTTTTAAAGTATCGGGCTGCTTCAAAAAAACAGGGGTGGCCCAAAGCCCAGTGCAGGCATCTGCCTGCACTGGGCCTTGGCTGGGTCCGCCCCTACTCTTGAATCCTGCGTTTAATAAGAGGGAAAAATGAAAGTGAAGAAATGTGCATACATTTTCTCTTCCCTTAGTTCTTCTTTCAAACTCTTATCTCCTTAATTTATATTCAGCAGTGGAACTTAGTACGTGTCTAAATCGGAGGCCGATGGAGGCTGAATGGGTTTTGAATCACAGGACAACAACGCAAGTTTTTGGATCGAAGGTGTTGTAATTTGTAAATGACAGGAGGGTTCCAAATCAAAATGCACAAATCTGATTTTTTTATTTTAAAATTTAAAAACAATCATGGGGAAGTTGGTGGGTCACGTGACTCATCAGGACCCACAGTATGTACGTTACTGTAGGAATGACAACAGAATGAGTATGAGTTGGGTAGGTAGTTCTCACCCCCGTTTGGATATGTTTGTTATATTATCTCATCTTCATACCCGATTAAAACGAGACAGTGCGGGTTCAGGGCAGGGCAGGGCAGGGCAGGGCCCCTACCCTATTTATTGTCTCATTTATTTTTTATTTATTTTATTTTTTACTTTTATTTTTTTATGTCTTTAGTTAGTAAATATTATTACTTTTTTACTAGTTTGTTAAAAATAACATATGTTCTCTTTCAAAATATGATAAATCTATTATTTTTGTTTGATAAAAAATTTAAATTTGAAATTAACTTTAAATGGGGAGAGTAGCGAGACATGGACTATGTTTTTTTTACCCACCCCATACCCCATTCGGGACAATGATTATTGACCCGTTTAACCAATTAAATGAGTAATCCTTACCCCATTTGAGCCCCCACGAGTATCAACTTAAGTGAATTTTTTTGTCATCTCTACGGTAGTGCCAACATCACGCGACCTTAACATTCAAACCAATGTTTTCCGTTAGTTGCAAACATGAGTGCCATGATTTAAAAAGCTAGGCATATCACACTCAAGAAAGCTTTGGGTCCCTTGGTGGAATTTACTATAAAGAATAGGATGCTTTTACAAATCATAGCAAATTCGTTAGTATGTAAAATGTAGATTTACTATAAGATGGAACAAAAAAAAAATATAATAATAATAATCATGGATGTCTAGAATTTGTAATTTTTTGAGTCTCTCTACTTTACTTACACATCGAATCCTCGTTTATTGCTAATAAAAGGTTTGAGGTCTTGGCGAAAAATGGTACTAGGTATAACTATTTAGGCATTTTTTTTTTCTTGTTAGTATCTTACATTCAGTTGGGGGATTTTGCAAAATGACCCATGAATAGTGGTTTTTTAAGTTTTTTGTTAAAAAGTCAATTTTACCCTTAAGGAAATGGGGCATTTATTGCAAAACAAGTCCTTAAACTTTTTATTCTTATTTTTATTCGTCATCACTAGACGTTTCTTCTAAATCTGATTTTTCTTCAAATATT